AAGCACCATAAGGTAGCGGCCATCAATCTCTTCTCGCCCCTCCTTTTTTCTCCCTTTTTTTTTCTTTTCTTTTTTTTTAAACTAATCCCTCCTTATCAATCAAAACTTGAACGACCCTAAATTATGCAATTATACTTGCTTGAGAAAAAAACTATCGTGCTTAGAGAGGTATGTAGAGCTAAACTTAGGGACAGATTACGCGAAGCCCATACTTGGATCAGACACAAGGTGTCCTCAAGGTTTAAGGATGGGTGAAATGAACTTCCGATTTGTCCCGTGCTACTTCTTCCTTCCTTTTTTTTTTTTTTTTTTTTTTTTTTAATCAATATTTCAGTAAATAGAATTGCATGAGTCTGACTGTGAGTCATGGGGATAGGAAAATGAGTTGACATATCACCTGGTTCCTTTTTTAAGGAATCAAGAGTTATAATAATAATCTTCCTATTGAAGGTAAACGCAATATGAGTTAAAATATTAACATCTTACATGCAGGTTGTCACATTTTTTCCTTTTACCTCGCTAAAATCTAGCACCTTCGAGTGTCCCCTTTCCCCCCCTTTTTTTTTTTTTAAATCCAAAAAAAGACTAAATTCCTTTGCAGGATATAATTTCGGCAGGACATGAAAAAATTGCTAATTAGGCAGACTCAGAAAATAAAAGGTGAAAGATCATCAGAACAATGCACATCGATTAAGTCATTTTCATTCATGCTAACCTGACAGAAATCAACCAAGATTGGAAATTACTTGAAATTGAGATAAAAAAAAACGAATAGAAGTTCAATGATTCATTTGAATTAAAAACTGAAATTTTGAATAAATCCTCACAAAGTGCTAACACCTTATTAACATCCCTCCATTAATCACTCTTATGGAGGGAGACAGAGCGAATGATTAGGTTTAAAGAGGAGTAAGAAGGTGATAAGATGGAAGGAGAAAAGGAGAAAGAGAAGAAAAAATATAAGGAAGTTAAGATTTCTGCAGATTCTGGGTTTGCGCCTCTGCCTTGGGGTTTTGGGGGCTGACGGGAGAGGAGGTTAGGGATTTACAGAGGTATGAGACGAAGAAGGTGGTTTCGTAACCAGAAAAAAAGGTTGAAGTGAAAGGGGGAAAAGAGATGGAGAATCAGAAGAGGAGGCTTCTTCAATCTCCGATTTTCCAGACTTCTTCGTCCTGCTATGCGTCTGAGGTGCCTGCTTCCCCTTCCTCTTCATCACTAACTATCTTGTGGCTAAAGCTAACACACTTCCTGTAACCCTTTCTTGAAGAAATGAACAGCGTGGGATAGTCTGGAGTAAACGGCGGCGAAGGTTCCAACGACAAAGTTGGATGAAGAATGTAATCAGGAATCTTGTCGCACGCCTTCTTCTTCAAATATCGAAACCAGGGTCCCGGACCCCAGTTCGCCAGTTTATCGAGGTGAAGATCTTGAGAAGCGTCTTCGCCAAGGAAGTGGAAAAAATCCTTGAAAAACGTCGAAACTGGAATAGCCAGTAAAGGCAATATAGCCAATCCAGGAAGGTTCTGCAGTAAGGTTAGCATTCATTCCCCCACCCAAGGTTGAGCCGATCTTGCCTCAATCTTCGCAATACACATGGCAAAGCAGAAGAAGTTTGCCGAAATTTCTTTAGCGCTTCTGACCTGAAACTCAGCCAAGTCTAGCTGGGCTCTGAACAACTCACGCGAAGACCAAGAGGAGAGAGGGCGTGAATCAACGACGAGATGGTTGAAGATGGTCGATGAGAAGAGAGAGTGAGATAAGAGTTCCGCAGCCCGCTTTCTTTTTAGGATGAAGAGGTTCCTTTGATTGTCCTGGAACCTAAAAGAAGCCGCTGAAGAAGCATAGTCAACAATGTCTTCGATTTTGAGTAGGTCACCGAAAGTTCTTTCGGTGACGTTTCTCTGAATCCTTATTAGCGAAACCTGAAGAAGAAGAGGGAGGAGAGAAAGGTGGAGAGGAATAAGATATGCGGGCGACGAATCTAAAACAAAGATGCGTTGCAGATCAGTGACGATGGGAGGAGGGCGAGAAACCTGTTGACGGGGAATCTATAAGGGAGGAAAATTCCTGAAGGAAAGAATCAGTCGAGATGGGGGAGAGGGAATGAGGAAGAAGATGGGCAGGGTAATGGTGTTTGAGGAAAGGGTTATAGAGAGGAGGATTGTCACGAGCAGGGGAGTGAAAGGAGGAATCGGGGAAGGAGTGTCTCAGCGATGAAGCGGACGAGCGGGGAAAGGATTGGATCGGGTTGCTTCCGTGGTTCAGTGGTGATCCGGAAACAGCGGACGGGACTGGGACTGGGGAAAAAAAAACGGGATTCATAATGACTGACAAATAGGGAAAGGGAGACTTACCGGGCTTTGAATGAGCAGAGGACCCTGACTGACTGGTTTGGTGAATGAATGAGACGGGAGGGCTTGGTTAGGGGGGGTGGGGAGGGAGGAGGGGGGAGGTGACTGAGCCAAGATTTTCCTGAGCGAAAAAAGTTGAACGACGCGTGCAGTGCCTGGTCAGAGTCGGGCGGGGGAAAACAACTCGGCCTCTGAGCAGACTTGGTGGCTGTGCTGTGACCGCAGGTTTGCCTATGTGATGGGCGTAGCTGCCGGCGGACGAAATCCCGAAGCCGCTCCGCGTGAGTAAAGTCAGCCTGCAGCGACCGGTCCTGTGCCGGTTACTTATACACTCGCTGGTCCAGGATCAAGTGGCGGTCGGTCCTCCGAGGGGCTCCTTCCTGCAGGGTAAGTTCCACTAAGCCCCTTCGTAGATCCTGGCTTGCTCACACACATCCGTAGATTCTGAGAATAAAAAATTGATCTTAGGAAAACGGTGCCTTCCGTTGGAACTGAACATCGTTGATGAGAAAGCCTCTGGAGACAGTTGATTTTTTAGGAGATAAAGAAAATTGAATCTTAGAAAAACCGCGCCCTCGTTGAAACTGAAGATCGTCGGTGACGAGGCCTCCTGAGACAGTTGCGCTGAAATGACCAAAGTGAAAGCATCTTGTCAACGCTTGAAGTGATAGTTGCATCTTGCCCCGACGAGTAGGTACCAACTAGAAGGGTTCGAGTAGGATAGTTGCACACCGTTTCCTCACGCCGTTTCAGGCCTGGGTCCACCGTTTCAGATTCGGATTTCAAGGCCCTGCGGCCCGCACACCGTTTCAATTTTTTTTGGACTGCGGGGTTCCCAGGAAAACGCCACGGACAGCTACCGGTCCTGGATTTGCTTGAACTGCCCCCCCCCCCCCAAATGCCAGTGCCTTTCATTTTACCAGCCTTCGAACGACCAATGGGCCCGAATGAAAAACCGGTATTTGCAGCCCGTTAGGGTTGCGTTTTATGCCCTTGAGACGTTTTCCGTCGTCGTTCGTTATACCGGTCTTTCATTCGGGCCCATTGGTCGTTGAAAGGCTGGTAAAATGAAAGGCACGGGCATTTAAGGGGGGGCGGCAGCTCAACCAAATGCAGGACCGGTATTTGCCTGTGGCATTTTCTTGGGAACCGGTAGGTGGCCGTGGTCCAAAATATTTCGAAACGGCGTGGGCAGGTCCTTGGAATTCAAATATGAAACGGCGTGGACCCAGGCCTACAGCCTCATGCCCAGCCCACCCACTTCGGCCCAATCGGCCTAGTCACTGTTCTGGATAATTTTGTCTGAATCTGGACGCAGTTATGAGCCAGATTCAGAAACAGAGATGTTCTCTCTCTCTCTCTCTCTCTCTCTCTCTCT